GGTTACTGCTGTTTACTGCTGCTGGTGGCCGTTGCTTGATATTTAAATTAACAACAGCTGAGTTTATAAATAAATAAAAACTTTTTACGAGTTTTATTTGTTGTTGTTTTTGTTTACTGTAGAGATGAAGAAAAAGTATTTAAATTGTAATTGTAGCTGAATTTTATCCCAATGTACTGTCAACGTTTAAATGACATTATTAAGTAGTTGTTGTTGTTGGTGGGAAAAAAAGAGAGTCTGATTAGTCATTAAATAAAAAATCGCACTACTAAAAGTGAAATTAAATTAATTTTTTTTTTTATTATTATTTATGTGTTTTTTTTTAGGGAAGTTTACAGTATTTGTTGTAGTTGTTAGTAGTTTATTTGGTTTGGAATATTTCTTTTCTACATAATATGCATGTAGATACGGGTTTTTTTGTATTTGTTGCTGGTATTGTTGTTAACAGCTGAAAGCTCTGTCGTTGCGGCGTTTCAGCTGGTTATTTCTTTTTTAACTTTATTTTATTTATTTGATCAGCGAGAATGTTGAAAAAGCGAAAGTTTTTTTTTTCACATTTCTTTGTCAGACTCTTAGGGCCAACCATAAATGGTAGCTTTTACCCACACTTTGGCCTTTTTGAGAGTTGAAATAAATTTAAAAATAAGAGTGTGTAAGTTTGTGTGATTTTTTTTTTTTTTTTTTTTTTTTTTTTGAAATAAAAGTGAAAAGCAGCCAAATTAAACATAAAATTATGGAAGTAGCTATAAAAAAAGCCAAGCAAACAACCAGCCAAGCAAACAAATAATAAAATATAATATAATTTTTTTTACACAATGACAATAAAAAAAATTAATAATAAAAAAAGAAAGAACTTGTATGTTGTTTAAAACTAAAAATCTTAGCACAACCACGCAATATTATATGATAATGGCGAAAAAAATACTTAATAATTTATTTGTTTTCTTTTTTTTAAAAAACATTGTATTTTGGCAAATTTTTGTTTTTTTTTTTTCTATTAAACAATAGAAATTTTTGTTCACATTATATGTTCAAAAGAGGAAGAATAGAAAAATTTCTTTTTTTTATTATTTATTTATACAAAATTAATAACTTTTACTGGCCTTTTTGTTGCTGAACAAAAGAAGAAATATTACAACATTTTTATTTTGTTGGCCATTTCTTTTTTTAAAAAAAAGTATAATAATGGGTGAAATGTTTAAATTTTTTTTTTGTAGAAATATAAAAAAATTATTTACGGTAATATTAAGATGATTTCATAAGTTTTATTTGACATAATATGACAATTGATTTGTGCTAAGTCATTTCATTATGAGACATTTTCTCAGCATAATAGTTAAAGACGCATCTGTCTGTATGTATTTAATAGCAAAAGCAAAAATTGAGAGATAATTGTTTTAATTTATTATTACCTCATCTCTGTTTAGTTATTAATTAATGAGATAATTAATATGTAATTAATATATAATTCGTTGATGATTGATAAGAAAAAAAAAAGTAATGTTTCTGCAACATGCAGTAGAAAAAGTAAGATTATAGTAACGACAACATTAAATTCAACAATAATATTGGTTACTGCAACCATATTATTAATTGACATTACAGCATATACTAATCAATATAACAAATTTTTTCGTAAAAAGCTTTTTGTAATATTTTTTTTTTTTTGAAAATCTTTTTTTTGGAAAAGCCTTTTAACAAAAAGCTTTTTTTTGGAAAGCTTATTTCTGAAAAGCTTTTTATTAGAAACGATTTAATTGGAAAGCTTATTGCTGAAAAGCTCTTTATTGGAAAGCTTTCAATGAAAAGCTTATTAACGAAAGGCTTTTTATTGGAAAAGCTTTTTATTGGAAAAGCTTTTTATTGGAAAAGCTTTTTAGTAGAAAGCTTTTTATTGGAAAAGTTTTTTAGTAGAAAGCTTTTTATTGGAAAAGCTTTCTAGTAGAAAGCTCTTTATTGGAAATGCTTCTTAGTAGAAAGCTCTTAATTGAAAAGGCTTTTTCTTGGAAAAGCTTTTTATTGTAAAAGCTTTTTATTGAAAAGGCTTTTTATTGGAAAAGTTTTTTAGTAGAAAGCTTTTTATTGGAAAAGCTTTTTAGTAGAAAGCTTTTTATTTGAAAAGTCTTTTACTGGAAAAACTTTTTATTAAAAAGCTTATTATTGACAAGCTTTTTATTAAAAAGCCTATTATTGAAAAGCTTTTTAATATTGAAATGTTTAGTATTAAAAAGCTTATTACTGAAAAGCTTTTTATGGAAAATCTTGTTATTGAAAAAGTTTTATACCGAAAAGTTTTTATTGTTTAAATATATATTTTTGTATGAAAAGCTTTTATCGTAAAAAACGGATTACCTTCTCCTAAAGGTAAATTTTACAATTAAAATGTAAACTAAAGCTTACTAATTACACCCTCACACAAATATTGAGTAACTTTTTTGTTTTTAATTTTTGTCCACAATTTCTTTAGAAACATTAGCAACAATTTGTTTTGCTTTCAATATACTTTACTTTTGCGTCACACCTTTATTAACTTTTTTTTTTTTGGTCATATAAATAATTTCACTTAATTTTGCTTTTTAAAAACAAAATAATAAAATCTTGAAAAAAAGCGAAATTAATTGCAATCAATTTTGGATGCTGTTGAAAAAATACAAAAAAAATTGTGTACAAATTAGCTAAATTCCTAATAAATTGTTTTGACAAATACACGCCGCTGATGAATCACACAGATAACAATGACGCATAGTTACAATTGGTTGATTAAACAAAATAAATATTTAAATTTATTTATCTACAGATTTGTGATTTTATTTTTAAATGTTGAAATATCACTGTTGTGTTTGTGGCTTAAGTCTTTCGTATGTTTGGTAATTGAATATACAAGTATGTGTCTTAAGTCTTTTGTATAAAAGAAAGGGAATTTAGGAAGTGTTTTTGGTTTTGATATACTTTCTAAAGTAAAGTATTTTTTAAGCTTAAAGTAAAAAGCTTTAAAAAAATCGTTTTTCTTCAAAAGCATTTCCAATAACAGTATTTGTATGAAAAGCTTTTACAGAAAACATTTCCAAAAAAGTGTTTTTTACTATTCTTCCTTAAAAAGCTTTTCCAAAAAATCTTGGTTTTTTAAAAAGCTTTTCAAAGCTTCTATATAAACAGGATTAAAAGCTTTTTATCATAATAAACTTTTCAAAATATAGATTTTTCAAAAACAATTTCCACCAAAAAGCCTTTTTTTTCTTAAAGAAATGTGCAATAAAATGCTTTTTTAAAACTTTTTTAATGACAAGCTTTAGTTCTCATAGTGTTTTTGCTTAAACAAAGAAAACTTTTTTTAAGCTTTTCCAATAAAAATTTTTTGAAAGCTTTTCAATAAAAGACTATTCCAATAAAAACGTTTTCAATAAAAATCTTTAGTTTATAAAGCTTTTCATTGCATTTTCGTTAAAAAGCGCTTGATCTCAAAGATTTTCAACAAAATCAAAAGCTTTAGTTTATAAAGATTTTTGTTAAAAAGAGTTTGTTCTTTTCATTAAAAATCTTGGCGTATAAAACGCTTCAATGAAAAGTATAAGAATAAATGCTTTTTATTGAAACGTTTTGCAATTAAAAAACTTTTGTGCCTAAAAGCTTTCTTGTTAAAAGGTTTTTCTGTTAAAAAGCTTTTTTTGCTAAAAAGCTTTTTTGTTAAAATGCTTAAAAATACCTTTTGAGAAGGAGTTTTTCTAATGCTTTTCTACTTTTGCCATTCAATTCAAACTAAACAAATCAAAACAAAAGACTAAAATCGCGAAGAACTTTTGTGTTAAAAAGCTATTTTGTTAAAAGTTTTTCTATTTAAAGTTTTTCTGTTAAAAAGCTTTTTTTGTTAAAATGCTTGAAAATATCTTTTGAGCAGGAGATTTTCTGATACTCTTCTACATTTGCAATTCAATTCAAACCAAACAAATCAAAACAAAAGACTAAAATCTTGAAGAGAATAAATTCTCTTAAATATTCTTACGAAACCCACCAAATCACACATGATGCTGTAACCGAAAACCGAAATTCAAAGAAAAACCACATTAATTCCAACTGAACCTTAAATTAACTTCTACAGACAATTTAACTGCAAATTTTTTCTTAAACTTTAAATCAGAGTAATTTTCTTTTATCTTCCACTGCCTAAAAAAACATAAATAAACTCAGTTGTCATCTACCTTAAAAAGTCAACGACCTGTTACGCAAGAAGCCAGAACGTATAAATTTCAACAAAATAAATAATAATAAAAAAAAAAACACAAACAAAAAACTTGAACGAGAAAAATGTTCTTCTAACTAAACAAAAGACTAAAGACACATACTCGAAGTTAAACACAAAGTAAAAGAAGTTGTTGTTGTAGTAATGTTCTAAAGTGTGTTTTCGTTGGTTTATAGCTGTAGTGTTGTTGCGTATTACGCTTTTGTTCTATATTTTGAAATCAAAAAAAAAAAAAAAAACTGATTCTTTTTTTTTTTTTGTTTGTTTATATTCTTTTGTAATCATAAATAAAAGAATTAAAATTTAAAGAAATATAAGATTTTTAGATTGTTTACTTTCTTTCTAAAAAAAAAAGACAAACTTAACAAATTTGTTAATATTTAACTAAATTTGGATATTTTAACACTTATTTAAGACATTAATCATTTTATACAAAACTATGTCTCATAAATTGTGACTAATTTTACTAAAAATTCATTAAGTTTATTTCAAAACACATCAAGCGCATCAAAAACAATTGTTAATTTTTGATTTCTTGACAAAACCGACAGAAACCTATAGATTTCTTTGAAAATGACTCATTACAAATTATGTAACTAAGTGATGAATCAATTGCTAAATATGCAGTAAAACCCTCAACTTTCTTTCTCTTTTGTTAAAATTACTTTATAGAAATTCAAGTTAAATTTGTTTAATACATTTAAACATATTTAAGTGTAATTTTCAAAACTTCTTTTTTAACATTTTTTAACTTTCTTTACAGATGGGGACTAAAAAACTATTAAATACTAGTAGTTCACCACCCATTGCTTACAAACGTTATTGCAATAATTACGAAGAAGCACAAGAACAACAAGAACAAACACCTTTAAAACAGCAACATTATCAGCAGCAACAAGAACAACATTCTAGCGGAAATCACAGCAACAAAACAAACATTAACAACACCTGCCTTTTAGTTAAACACAATACAAATGCAATGTTTACAAAATTAAGGAATTATTTTACACAATTTAGACCGACAAAATCCACATTATCATCAGCATCATCGTCAGTATCACATTGTCACCAGCATCGTAGTTATCGTCATGAAAAGCTGACAGAATGTAATAGTATACCCATAGTGCAGCATAGCTCTAGCAAAATGTTACATATTGTCAGTATCGTTGTAACGTTAATTTTCTTGGCCTCATTCAACAGTGGCGTTTCAGCGAATCCCGTTTTTGTGGATAATCCCAGCTTAGCACAGTGTAAGTTTTTATCTTGATATAATTCCATAAGCAATTAATTGAAAGCAACAAAATGTTTATTTGGGCAAAAGAATGCAGGGATGGGGAAAGGAATACTGAGAAATATTTCAAAAAGTCTTGTTTGACATTTCTATGGAAATGGTTTTAGATAAATTTTCATAAAATTTAGTTTTGATAGAAATTTCTCTAAAAAAATTATGTCTTGATAACAATTTTTGTAGAAATTTTTATCTTGACAAAAAAATTCCACAGACATTTATGTCTTGACACAAATATCTTTAGAAATAATTGTCTTGACTCGACTTTTTTTAAGAAATTTATGTCTTAAAATTGTTGTCTTGACACAAATATCTAAAGATATTTATTTCTTGACATTTATGTTATGACTCAAATTTTTTAAATATTTTTGTCTTAACACAAAATTCTTTAGAATTGCATGTCGTGATACAAATTTCTTAAGAAATTTATGCCTTGACACAAATCTAAGGTAAATATTCAAATGTATGTGTCTTGATACAAATTTCTATAGATATTTATGTCTTGCCATACAAATTTTGTGAAATTTCTTTAGATACTTTTGTCGTGACACAAACTGCTTTAGAAGTTTATATCTTGATACAAATTTCTTCAGTTATTAATGTCTTGACAAAAAATTCTTTGGATATTTTTGTCTCAACACAAATTTCTACAGATATCTATGTCTTGAGACAAAATTTCTATAAAAAATTTATGTCTCGACACAAATTTTTTAAGAAATCTATGTCTTGACAAATTATTTTTAGACATTTTTTTAGGTATTTTTGTATTGACACAAATTTTTTTATGTCTTGACAAAAAATTCTTAGGATATTTTTGTCTTGACACAAATTTCTACTAATATCTACGTCTTGACACAAAATTTCTTTAAAATATTCAGTCTTGATTCAAATTTCAATAGAAATTTATGTCTTGTCACAAAATTATGATAAATATTTGTGTCTTGACTCAAATTCATTTAGACATTTATGTCTTGTCACAAATTTAGAATAAATGTTTGTGTCTGCACACAAATTTCTTTAGAAATATATGTCTTGATAGAAATTTCATTAGAAATTAATGTCTTGACAAAATATTTTTGGAAATTTTACAAATTTCGTTCTTTAAAAATTTATGTCTTGAGACAAATTTATATAAAAAATTTATGTATTGACAAAAGTTTTTTTAATATTTTGTCTTGACACAAATTTCTTTAGAAATGTTTGTCTTGAGACATATTTTTCAGAAATCAATGTCTTGAGATAAATTTTATATATAATTTAATATCTGCAGATAAATTCCTCAAGAAGTTTAAGTCTTGACACAAGTTTTTTAGATATTTTTGTCTTGATAAAAATTTCTTCAGAAATATATGTCTTGATACAATTGTTTTAAATAGTTTTGCTTTGATTTACAAATGTTTTTAGACATTTTTTTGGCAATTTATGTCTTGACACAAATTTCATATAAAAACTAATATCGTGACACAAATTAATATCTTAAGATACACTACTCAAGAAATTTATGTCTTAACATAATAATTTTTGATATTTTTGTCTTGATTTTTTAGAAATTGAGTACTAATTTCTATAAATATTTATGTCTTGATACAAATTTCTGACTTTATATATGTATGTAGATATGTATATGAAATTGTTGACTTTGTATATGTAGATATGTATGTCTTGAGAAAAAAATCTTTAGAAATTTATGTCTTGAGAGAAATTTAAATAAAAAATTTTGTCATGACACGAATTTCGTTTGATATTGATGTTTTGTGACAATTTTTTTTTAGAAATGTAAATCTTCCAAAAACGTTCTTTAGAAATATATGCCTTGACATAAATTTATATTAAAATAAATATCTTGAGACAAATTTCGAAAAAAAAAAATCATGTCTTGATTGGGGAAAATCTGTGTCTTTTAGTATTAAGGCAAAGTTTTAAACAAATAAACATAGAACTTTAAATAAAAAGAAACATTTTTCCATAATTTTATGTTTAAGAAAAAATTCAATTTAATAATAAAAAAGGCAACGTTTACTCTTTCAAAAGTTTTACTAATCGATTTAAAAAAAAACTTAACCACTTAAACCGAAATCTCTTAAAAGAAATAGACAAATAGGCTTTTAGTAAAAATGTAAGATAAAAAGCTTATGAACTATGTTGCCAGCAACACAACAACATACCGCAACAATATTTTAAAAAGTCAATGTCAAACCTGTTTGCAGCAATAATTTTATTTATGTTTGCATCCACAATATTCCCAGTCATATCTATGACACTCTATATGCAAAACACTTAATACCTGTAATATTAAAACCACTTAAAAAAAACAACCACTAGAAATTGTCACTAACTTTAATAAGATACAACCTCAACTTACAGTTTTTTTCTACTTTTTTTTCTTACCAGATTTTCTTTGGTCCAAAAAAAAGTGTTTAAAATTGGTACGAGTAAAAGTCATTAGTTGGAAGATCAACATGTTTGATCTTGGTTTGTTGTTGTACAATATTTAAAAATGTATGTCGTTGTTCCGTTACCATAGAAGATGACTTCTTCATCAACTCTACTCTACTCCTCTACTAGGTAGTATCATATCATCTGTTTCCACATTTTTTTTGTGGGTTTTTTTGAATATAGTGTTTAAATAAAAAGACCTGTACAGCAGGCAGCATAAATGCATCATGTCTATAATTTGTTGGCGAATGTTAAAATGCAAATGTTGCTGCTTGCAGATGAAGGAGATACATGACATGAATTGTGCGGTAGAGTAGTGGATGGATGCTTCATTATTATTAAACAAGAAAAGAAAGGTTTTTTGGGGTTTCATGGGTTTCGCTTACTTGCTTGGCAAATTAATGTTTGCAATTTGTAACTAGAAAAACATGTGTAGTTGAAAAAAATCTATGTGATCGGAAAGCTAATGAAGAAATATATAGTTAAACGTGTTGCAGCAGATGTTTAAAAGGCAAATATTCATTATATTGGTAAACATTTTGGTTGAAATTTATTTAAGAATTTATGTCTTGACATAAATTTCTATTTGGATTTATGTCTTGACAAAAATTTCTATAGAAATGCTTATTTTCAGACAATTCTCTATAGAAAATTATTTCTGGACAAAATTTTCTTTTTGTTTTAAAACTAATTTCTAAAGAAATTTATGTCTTAACACAAATTTCTATATAAAATTATGTCTTGATAAAAATTTCTATAAAAAATTTTATGTTTTGAGACAAATTTTCTTAAAATTTCATGTCCTAAGACAATTTTCTATAGAATTTTATGTCTTAAGACAAACATTAGATACTTATGTCCTAAGATAAATATCTATAGAAATTTATGTCTTGAACTAATTTTGGTAGAAATTTATGTCATGAAAAAAATTTCTAAAAAAAAGTATATCTTGACACAAGTATCATTCAAAATTTCATTAGAAATTTTTGTCTTGACATGCATTTCTTTAGAAATGAATGTCTTGACATCAATATCGTTACATATTTATCTTTTAACACAAATTTCTGTAGATATTTCTTTAGAAATTAATGTTTTGACACAAATGATGTAAATTTTTTATAGAAATGTATATCTTTAGACAAACATTTGTAGACACTTATGTCTCGAGACAAATGTCTATAGAAATTTATGTCTTAAAACAATTTTTTTTTTAAATTCTTATCTTGATACACAATTCTGCATAAATTTCTTAGAAATTTATGTCTTCACACAAATATCTTTCAAAATTTTATTATTTATTTTTCTCTTGACACAATTTTTTAGAAATGTATGTCTTGATACAATTTTCCTTAGAAATTTATGTCTTGACACAAATTTCATTACATATTTTTCTTTTAACACAAATTTCTGTAGATATTTTTATAGAAATTTATGTTTTGATACAAATCTTCATAGAAATTTATGTCTTGAGACAATTTTCTATATATCTTGATACAAATCTCTTTAGAAATGCATTTTGTCTCAAGACAAATTTTTATAGAAGTTATGTTTTAAGACAACTTTCTAAAAAAAATTGTATCAAGACATAAATTTCTATGTTTTAATACAAAATTTCTTTAGAACTTTATGCCTTGAAATGAATTTCTTTACAAAATTTTTGTCTTGACATAAATTTATTTAGAAAATCATGTCAAATTTCTATATAAATGTATGTCTTTATAGACATTTATGTCTTGAGACAAATGTCTATAGAAATGTATGTCTTGCTATAAATTTCAGTAAAAATTTATGTCTTGACAAAACCTTTTTTTTACGAAATTTTTATCTCTATATAATTCTGTAAAAACTTACGTCTCTACACAAATTTCTTTAGAAATTTATGTCTTGACATAATGTCTTGACAAACATTTCTTTAGAAATTTATGTCCTGACTCATATATCTTTCAAAATTTCATTAGATATTTTTGTCTTGACACAATTTTATTTTAGAAATGTATGTCTTGACACAATTTTCATTAGAAATTAATGTCTTGACACAAATATTATTACACATTTTTGTTTTAACACAAATTTCTATTGATATTTATGTCTTGATACAATTTTTTTTTAGAAAATCGTGTCTAATTTCTATAGAAATTTATGTTATGATTTAAATTTATGTAAATAATTTAAAAAAAGTCTTTACTATTTCAACCCAAGTTTTCTGCAAAATCCTCTGTTACTATTTCTTTAAGTGTATTTTAATATTAAACAAAATTTAAATCTTTATTGTTTTCGGACAAGTATTTATTTAACAAATATTTGTACTTTTTATTTTACTAAAGAAAAAAATAACAACAAAAACGACAACAGAAATCTGTGGTTTTAAAAAAAATAAAGATAAAAATCTTTTAGATAATTACGTGAGAGAAAGTTAAACAGTTCAGCTTAGTTCTACAAAAACACAAGACAAACTGGCAAACAGTTTAACTAACTGACTGACGACACGGAGTGTGTTAAAAAAATTGCTGTTGTTTTTTTTTTTTT